AACAAAAACTACAAAAAAAAATATTATTTTATGATCTATTAAACACAAAAGTTTAGCTGTGATTAGTTTCTTCGGTTGCCACCAGACTTCAATAACATTCGACTTATGTAATTTCTATGTAGTAAATAGTCAGCTATGTACTTATATTTATTTAAAACAAGCACATTTTAATTAAAATTATAAAGTATACGAAAAGTTTTGTTACAAAAAAAAATGTAAAATTTATTGTTGTGACATACATAACGATGTAATTTCCAAACCTGCCTCAGCACACTGCAAGAAATACTGAACGAATCACCTACCTAAAATATGAAAAATATTAAAACATAAATAAAAGTTGAAAACATATGAAGTTTTGTGAAAAAGTTTAAAATATACATACATACATATAACTGTTTTTGTGAGATTTTAGTTTATTGTTAAGAAAGTTAATTATATTAGAGGCATGTGAGAATGCTGACTATAAATGCAATGTGGAATTTTACAAAAAGCAACTTAACTGAAATTAGAAAGCCAAATGGTGTTTCTTTTAAGGAATTTTCAAGCAATTCGCTATAAAAAATTGTTTTCTAAAGCAACAGCTTCCTAAAATCGTTTAAGAAATTTAATTTTCTCTTAAAGATATTAAATTAACGGAGTTCGGTCGCTAACGTACTAAATTAAAATAATTTTTTTTTTTTTGTCAAAATTCCGAGAATGTGAGTTGTGTTTGTAGTTCAGCTAGTTGCGATATTTAATAGAAAAGAAATTATGTATGGATCTAGCAATCCTTTTACAATTGTATGATTATGCTGTACTTGTGCATTAAATACTTATTCAAAATATATTTACAACGTATATGTGTATTAAATAAAATAAAGTGTGTTATACACAAACAACATAAAATTAAAGAAAAGTTTAGCGAAGTTTTATTAAAATAAGAAAAAAAAACCGCTGGACCGAAGCTTCACAACTTTTCACTAAATATTCTCACAGCAACTTGATTTAGATCATTCAGAAGAGCAGAATAAAGAAAAGGTCATGGCTAAATGGACTCAGCTAATCATTTATGTAAAAGGGGACCAATTTCGAGGTTTCCTACTTTTTTGAGAAAAAACATAGACACTTCTAATTTAATGGAGTGTGTTCATTATAATTAAAAACAGCATTCTTTGACATTTATTTTTTGAAGATTATTTCTTTCCACCGTTGGCCGCGACTACATCTCCGATGATCCATCCGTTGAGTCCAATTTTTGATTCCTCATTCGAGCATTTCGACTAGTAACTGGCGAACGACACGCGTGACGTTTTGCTTCAAGATCTGAATCGAAGTAGAATTGTCCGCATAGACTTTGGACTTTACATATCCCCACAAGGAGAAGTCTAATGGTGTGATATCACACGATCTTGGTGCGCAAACGACCGGCGCAAAACGTTTATTTTTTTGCTCACCGAAATGTGCGCTCAATAAATCCACATGCTACAGTGATGCGATTAGAAGAATTTCCTTGGATATTGCAGTGCTGCTTTGGGATATAATATGATCCAAATTTCAGGAATGCTGGAAAAGCTCTCCATGCAAACACTTGATTGATCTTGGTTCCGACAAATTAGCAACTTTTGGGGGAAAAACGAACATAAACAAA